CCGGCCGAACTGGAGTTTGAGCACGTGCCAGCCGACTCGAAAGAATTGAATCCCGAGTCAAGTGAATCTAGCCCTGAGTCAAGTTCCAAGTCAAGTGAATCTAGCCCCGAATCAAGTCCCGAGTCAAGTGCCGAGCCGAGTGAATCAAGTGAGTCATGTGCCGAGTCTAGTGAGTCATGTGCCGAGTCGAGTGTCGAGTCGAGTGAGTCAAGTGCCGAGTCGAGGTACTCTGCGGGTGCCATGGAGGCGATGATGACATGGACGTCTGAGTCTGCTTCGCCTTTGTCTCAGTCTAAGTCTGCTCCGTCCTGGTACCCTTCCAAGTGTGTTCAACCCTGGTCTCCTGTCAAGTGTGTTCCACCCTGGTTGCCTTCCAAGTGTGCTCCCCCATGGTCTCTTGCCCTGTTGTGGTCTCCAGGCCCCAGGTCTCTCCATGGGCCTGACCTCCTGCCTCTCCATGGGCCTGGCCCTCCATCCCAGCCCCTGTTGACCTCCCCCCGGAGCTCTTAGGAGCGTCTGGAAGCCGCTCCTTAGAGGGGGGGGGTTATGTGACGATCGGCAGCTGTAGTGCCCTCGAGAGCCTCTGAAGGACACTCTCTCTTTATGTTATGTTTCTTTATGGACTCATTATGTTTATTATGTTCAGGTGTGTTTTATTAAGCTGATTAAGTTTTCCTGTCTTAAGCCCGTGTTTTCCCTGTGTTCAGTGCGAAGTATTGTATAGCGTAAGCGTACCTTTCCCGGGCATTATTCTCTGATTCTAGTTCTTTGTATTTCGTGTTTCCCTGGACTTTTGACCTTAGCCTGTTATCTGGACTCTGTTTATGAACCTGTGCTGCCTGCCTCGACTTTTGCCTGTTTGACTTCGATTCTGATGTTCCCTTTCAATAAAGTTCTGCAAATGGATCCGACCGCCTCTGTCCGTACATTACAATATCCTCCCTTCGAAGAAATCCGGACAGAAGTGGTCGAAAGTGGACAAAAGAGACGGATTAAAACACCAGGAGTCTCCCTCGTCTACTTGTGGTCCGATCGAGCAAAACTCATCTTAATACCAGGTGTAAACAGGGCAAGAGATACATTTTAAAAACATTTTTTTTTTGTATGTATACAAGAACGTATTCTGCGCCTGTCGCTGTCATACAAAGGTAATTGAATTTTAGGTCACAATTATCAGTATTTTTGCTCAGACAAGAGCATATTCTAACTGTTGATGCAGAGTCAGTAGAAACAGAACAAAATGTAAAAATAATTTGAAAAACAAAATAAATTTAGGAAAAAGATTTTTTTTTGGTCATTTTTAAACCATTGCAAACAAAGATGTCATCAACCATAATAATTTACTTATGTTCCAAAATCATAAAATCAACAGCTAAAATTCTTCTTATTAAAATAATATAATTAAATATTTAGTGGTGTGAGAACCCTATTGGAATTGTTCTGTTTATTTTGACTTATTATTATTATTTAACAACTGTAAACCATAACCATCCTGGCATGGCACCAATTGAAAAAACAGTCCATCACTGGTTTAGTAACCTCTGCTGGTCCATTAGAGCCACAAACACAGATGTTCAGACTGTCCTTCATTTAACAATAAAAAAACAATGTCAAGATAAGGTGTCAATGCAAGGTGAATGCACATGCAGCTGTTGTACTGAGGTGAAATAAAGACCAACAAACGTTTTCTTTGCTATTTTTTCCTTCACATTCTGGGGGATTTGGATGTGAGGGTTTTCAGAAGATAAATCAACATTTTGGCTTGCTGTTTTGTTCCTCTGAGGAACACATACACACAGTCACTCAGCGTTTGTCCTGTAGCTGGAAAACATCTACAACCCCTCTGGTTCCAACTTCGTTTCATCCTCCTCCAAAAACAAAGCAAAGTCTTGTCCTATTTCCCTTATTTATTCTCTCTCTCTTCTCTCGGCTTAGCTTCTTCCCTCAAATGTTTCGATCTACAGTATCTTCGTCCCTGTTTGATGATTTAATTATCTCTCTTTCAAAATGAAATGAAACATAAAACAAAACATAAAAACTTAAAATGTCACATCAAGAAGTCATCAATTAGCACTTCTCCGTCTTCAGGGACACAGAGAGTCAGCTTATGCCCCATTGTCAACACACAAGAGGTGATGGCCTGCTGGGTTCTTTGAAAATGTATCCAAATTCCAAAGCCTCTGATCTAAAATATAATCTTGTAACTTGTCACAGTTTCTGATCTGTGGCAAGACTTAATCACAATGCTTTTATGACAAAAAAGCAAAACAGAAAAGCATATAATAAGATGGGGATGATGACAAACAGCATTGTAATTATTTTGAACACAAACATTTTTCTTGAGACTCATGAAATCCTTTTCCAATAGTCACTTGTTTGTTTGTTTTTTGGTTACTTTTGGAGAACAATAAAAAGTCAGTATTTCTTCTTTTTTTGAGTTCTTTTGAGTGTCAGTTTTCATTATTTTAACAGGCTGCACTAGCCTGGGAAAACCCAGACAACTTCTGGCAAATTTAGATTTGCTCTGAAAGTTAGTCTGGCAAAGAGCTCATTCAAGCTCATTTACAATCCGCCGAAATCGAGGCACCAATCAGAAACGTTGGGGCGGGCTTTACACGATGACGACAGCGCTGGGATTTTGAAGCAGATTTTGTAGTCTACATTACAAAGATGGATGCCGCTATCGCGTCTGTTTTAAGCGATATGAACGTTTCCTTTTTGTTAAAAACCGAGCAAAGAACAACACTCGGAGATATTTCTCCGCCGCTCTGCATGCGTCATCTCCTTCATCGCTCTGATTGGTTTTAGGTCTATCCGCGACGTCCGTTGGTGACGCCCCTCTGGAAATGATTTGTCTATGACGCTTTGCCAGACCATAACTCAGTTACAACTGAGAATTGTCTGGTTTTAACCAGGCTAAGGCTGCACACAAACATCAAATGATCAAATGGAAGAAAGATGCGTAGTGAAAGTATATTTCAAGTGCTACGACATGAGGTTCAGTTTTTAATAGTTTCAATATGAAATATCAATTAAAATATCACAGCATGCCGAGCACTTCTGGAAACATCAGAATAAATGAATAACCAATGTAAGAAATGTCATCTTAAAAATGTATAAAGATCAATGGTGTAATGAATGTCAGGAAATGTCAGCCCCAAACCTGGATGCTTTGTTGAAACTTTAAAATCATGATCCCATAAGTACATGGATTTTAAAATATTTTAATCTGTTTTGATGGGTATTTTGATCTTTCTAACAATATTGAAATACTACAAATATTTCATTCAGTTTATTTCCACACTTCAGGAAATAAGGCATAATTATTCAACATTAAATATATATATATTTTTAACTTCAAAATCCTATGGTTGTGGACAATGTAATTCAAATTTCATCCCATTCATTAAAAGGGAGGCTATATTAATTTTGTCCAACCCTGTTTTGAACATTATTCATATGGATCATGATATAGGCCTATGATGTCTTTTTCAATTCCTCTTTGCATGTTTGACCTCATTTCATTGCAGCATCAAGTATTACTAGTCAATATCATGCCTTTTTTATGTAATTAGCCTCATTATAGATTGCACCTCATTCAAAAAACTTGCCAGGAAATAATGTCTGGTGCAACCCCCACTACTCAGAACTGGCCTGCAAGATTGGAAATTTCATCAAGCAAACGGTTCTTAGCACAATTATTTTGGCGTGTATTTTTACCATTTCCTGATTTGCATAATTCCCTCCGGTGCTAAAACAATAGTAAACAGCATGTGTAAATAAGGGACACTATCAGCTGGCACAATTCATTCATGGTGATTTATTCCCAAAGTGTACTAATACGGATTTCTGTTGATTATCAAGAGCCTTGCTGTATTTTGACTCTCATGTGCTTGTTATGCTGTCGGCTATGTTTTCACAGCTGGTTGTTTCTGATCTAGTAAACATATTCCATATCTCACATTTAGAGCTATGGCACCACCATCACCCACTGTCAAACAGTTCTCTGGTATGCCAGTTGTTAGAAACAGTTATGGGAGCAACCATAAGTCAACACATTGGTTTGATGTTTCAGTTGTTCCACATTACTGCCTTGTGATACAGCACATACTATTTATATTCAGATATTGTTCAAGATGCGGGCAGAAATACATCAAATATGTAGTTTTTAGTAATATACCATTCAAAAGTTTGGGGTCAGTAAGATTTTTTTAAAGAAATTAATACATATTTTTGTTCAGCAAGGACATATCAAATTGACCAAAATTGGCAGTAAAGACAATGTTTTGAAAGGTTTATATTGCAAATATAATTTATATTCATAAAAGAATCCTGAATAAATGTATCACATTTACCACAAAAGTATTAAGTAACACAACTGTTTTCAATAATTATCATTAGAAATGTTTCTTGAGCAGAAAATAAGCATATAAGAATGATTTTTGAAGGATCATGTGACTGAACACTGGAATAATGATGCCGAAAATTCAGCTTTACCATCACATAAATAAATAACATTTTAAAATATATAAAAATAGAAAACAACTATTTTAAATTGTAATAATATTTCACAATATTACTGTATTTACTGCATTTTGATCAAATAAATGCAGCCTCTCTGAGCATGAGACTTCTTTTTAAAAATATTTAAAAAATCGTACCAATCCAAAACTTTTGAACACTCTCACACACACACACACACGCACACACACACGCACGCACACACACATATATAGTAATGTACACTACGATAATATATCTTACCTTACATACAAAAAATATGATTACACACACATTTGTACCACACATTTCATTGCCAACATACACAAACCACAAGACCCAATTTCAGTTCCACATGGTGTGTGAAATTCAGAGCAGTTTGCTGTTCTAAATGCCACCAGTCCACATCCAAACACACCCACTTGATAACGCTGCACACTGTTGTCACAGATCGTGCTGACACTCATTCAGTATAGTGCACAAAACTACAGAATACTTACGAACAGGTATGAGTGATGTGTCAAAGTTGCTTTCAGCAGAGGTTGCGTTAAGTGCTTGTGCTGTGGAGTTGGCCATTACAGACATGTGAAGGAATATTTGGCAGTGAGATTGAGGGGGACAGCTGTGGGAGAGTGTTCTCAGGGATGATGAGATGTCTGTAGAAAGAGAGAGAGGGCAATTGCTTCACTCCAGTGTGCTCTCGGGGAAACAGTGAGGAAATAGCGGGAGAGTTTCTGGTTTCTGGTCTGAGATAAAGCACACATAACAGATTACATCATCCAAATCCCTATGTGAATAGTGAATAATATTTGCACTTGAATTTTCTAATGTTAACCATTATTTACATAAGCCACACTGCATGTTTACGTTTTCATTAAGACATTATTTTGCATGTTTATTAAGTTTTCATATTGTGGTCTCATAACCACAATGTAGGCGATTTCAGGTCAAATGTTGGCATAATGTAAACAAAACCTGACCCCCAGGTTTTTGCTATTAGACCATATACAGATAATGTGACCCATTGGCAGCAAGATGGCACATCTCCAGTCAGCATGGCACATGTCGATCTGAGGCTTGTGTGTATTTTATGAATCTATGTTATGAAGTTCCTTCTGTAAAAAAGCAACAGAAGGTTAAAGCTTGAATGATAATTTCCTGGCTTTTGACCAGGTCAGTCGAGCATATTAAAAATAATTCAAAGAGGGAAAATGTAAAAATTATATTATTTTAAATGTATATGTATTATGTTTTTTTTGAAAATTGCGCAGTTTTAATGCAGAGACTAGCACCCTGACATTGTTCTATTTGATCTTTATTCAGGGGGAGGGGGGGGGGGGGGGGGGGGGGGGGGGGGGGGGGTTCGGGGGTTCTTTCTATCCAGAACAGGAACATGCTGGATAAGGTGACAAAAATGGGTAGGAAAATTACTGGATCAGATGTGAAAAGCATCACAAATCTTACTGACCAGCATACCTTCAATTTGGCACTGAGGATACTGGAGGATCCATTGCACCCACTTTGCACAGAATTTTCCCTCCTCCCCTCTGGATGTAGATTCAGAATGCCCCGAACAAAAACTAAACGACATATTACATCATTCGTGCCGAGGAGCATTCAATTATTAAATGGATCATCTATGGGCACATAGATTTATTTTAAATGTGCATATATATCTATTTATTGATTCCTTTAAGCTGTTGAACATTTTAGATGCGTATTATTTATATATTTTATTCTATGTTTGTTGTGGTTATGTTTATTGTGGTTCCCATGAGTGTAAAACAAATTCCCCTCGGGGCAATAAAGGTTTCATTCATTCATTGGAGAATTCTTTCGAAAACATAAAAAATCTTACAGACCCCAAAATGCTGATACCCAGCTGTCAGCCCTAACATACAGTATGTTTAGGTACTATAGACAGAGGTTCTGTCAACTGTAGATCTGATATGTTGTAAACATTATAGTGCTTTGTGGCACATTCGATTAATCTCTATGGCTCTTATTTATCATTTGTTGACCCTTCTGGCTGTTAATAAACAAAGGAAGAGGCCTTTAAAGACTCTGGACCTTATCGCCCACAGTGAAACAAAAGAAACCCACACAGTATTTCCTTCTCTCTCCACACAGTGTCCACACCCAGTGCTTCCTTCCTGAAATCAAGCAATTGACTTCTATTTGCATATATAAAATGTATCGTACACTGACATTCTTGTGTTTTTAGTTTGTAATATTTGCAGGATAAGAATGCTAGAACTTTTAGCTGTTTTAAAAGATGGACTTGACAATGCTACTAATTTATAACTTTGTTTGGTTCCATGAAGTTGTGTCAATGTTTATGCCTGCGGCTGAATTAAGAGCTCTCATAAATGTTATAGAGGATAATGGGAAACAAGTTCTCACTTTCACTCTCTAATTTAAGATCACGTTTTTTTTTACCTTCCCTCATCATGACTCAGTGCTAGAATAAAGCATTTTTTTTAGCTTGTTTTCATTTTCTCTTCATTATTTAAAGATAGCAGTTTTAATGTCAGCTGTGTTTAATTATAAGCTTTATGTACAAGCATAACGTCCTGGTTGCGTATGCAACCCACCGTTCCCTTAACCCTTTGATGCACAACATGGGTCTAAATAGACCCGACTGAGTTTTCATTTTCTATATCTTTGCAAGAAATTAATTTCATCATTCAGTATTCCAGGTATTCCTCAATTAACTTGTTTTAGATCATTACAAATCCTTATTTAAATTTTTCCTTTCTTACTTTTCGAATAAAAATCATTTTGTTTCACTACCCTTCTAATGCGCAACATGGGTCTAAAAAGACCCGTATTCATGTTTCTTTGCTGAATAGTTGAAAGAAATGTATTTTGTCATTTATTAATCCAGGTATTCATTAAATATCTTGTTTTTGATTTCCACAAATCATTATTTTTATTTTTCCTTTCTTACTTTATAAACAAACACGGTTTTTGTATTTCTACATCAATTTTACACACATGGGATATTTATAAATAGTATAAATATATTTACTGCAGAAAACTATTCACCTGCCACACATTTCACAATTCAACACGGCTGCTTTTGTATATTTCATGCATGTAAGTTTTATTTAATACATTTTTTGTCACAGAAAATATTTGATATTTTGTGAAAGACATCTAGATATAGCCTAAAATTTGAACGTTTAGGCTAAGGTTACCTTGACCTTGAAATCCATTACTAGTACAAAAGAGAAACATGTCCAATACTATTAGCTAGCTTGCGGTGAACATATTTTATTTTATCTAATGTTAGCTAGGTCAACAAAATAAAAGTTGCAATAGAAAGTTATATACAAGTATATATTGGCACTGTTGGGCAGAAACCTTACCTGGGCAGTACCTCCATATTAATTTTTATTTGTGGTCATAAATCAATGCTATCGGTCACATAAGCCGCTGTGTGGTGGCGTTCTGGTGCACTATGGCTGCTGTCACATCATCCGGGTGGATGCTCTACATTGGTGGCGGGGAGATCCCCCAGTTGCACTACACTACAGTTCAATTTCAGTGTTATCGGTTATATTTGTGTGTTATGCGTGACAAAGTGGCCAATAAACATATTTCAAGTACTACAGTGAATGTGTTGATCTAAACAACTGTTTATTTTAACAAAAAGTTTTCTTTATTCTTTTGTTTTATCACGCTTGCATTGATGGGTCATTTTAGACCCATGTGTGTAAACTTGATGTATTTACACAAAACCTAGGAAATATTAAAATATGAATTTGTGATAATTGAAAACAAGATATTTTGAATATTCATAAATCATGAAATTTATAGATCATGAAATATAAAATGCTCAAATAAAGTGATTTCAAAAGGTTTAAACAAAAAAATGCCGAGCCATGCATGAAATAACATAGGAAATGAATACGGGTCTTTTTAGACCCATGTTGTGCATTAGAGGGGGTATCCATAGCTTGCGCATCAAAGGAGGGAACGGAGGACGTAATTGGAATTGGTGTGCGTGATGACATCACATACTCCGGCCCCGCAGCGCGGGTATAAATACAGAAGTGGATGCACGCACTAGTTGCTTTTTCGCTGAGGAGCCGAGCGTAACTCGGAGTCAGCGGTGGTCCATCGGTAATGGCAAGGGGACTACGTCCTCCGTTCCCTTCAACGGGGGTTGCATACGCAACCAGGACGTTCCCTTTCAGTCAAGAACCTCAGACATAGTTGACGTCGACTGAATGGGGATAACCATTGAACACGCCACTAAAGCTGCCACCTTCCAGTGCCTAGACAAAAGCCTCCAGATAACCCCTCAATTTAAGGTGGGAAGGGACAGGGCTTAGGAGCAGCGCTCAACACGTAGGTGTAATAAATATCACTAATCTTAGGAGCATCTTAGCTCAACACCTAGGTATGATGAATATCACTGAGATCTTGAAAAAGACGCAAACGCGCCCGTGTTGCTCTTTCAGGAAATAGAACCCATCACCAGTGCCAGAGCACACAGGGGAATGACCGCGGCAACACTGAACAGTGAACTGAAACAGTGAAGCACTCACTTTTCCCACTTTTCCGCCCTCTAACCAGCCGTCCTTACACACAAACCTTTAGAAATGTGTTGCTGTTAAAACAGCAGTTGAGAGCTCAAAGCTCGCGATCACCGCTGCACTCGCGCTGTAGAAACCACCAGCACTGGGAGAGTCTTCCAGAAGAACACCGATACACTCGCTCGTTGTACAACAGCACTCTTCAGAGACATCAAACGATCGGCTCCGAAGCGAAAGGCAACTAGTGCGTGCATCCACTTCCGTATTTATACCCGCACCGCAGGGGCGGAGTGTGTGATGTCATCACGCACGCCAATTCCATTGGCTCGTTCAATAGTACTCGAAGATGATTGGCTCCCTGGTGTGATCCCCATTCAGTCGACGTCGACTACGTCTGACGTTTCCGACTGAAAGGGAACTGGCTTTTACTATTTACACCTGCATGAGTATTTTTTTCAATGTTAGTATCTACTGTAATTATATATATATATATATTGATAGATTCAAATAAAAAATGTTTCTCATGATCTTAAAACCCTAATTTTCCAGACAAATATAGTGTCTACATAATGTTTTTGCAAAACTTGGACTGCATAGTGAGGAAAAAGCAGCCAGCAAGTGCCCAACAAGGAATGAAGTCACGACAATTTAAAAGCACCCCAAATGGCACCTCAAGAAATTGGTTGACATGACCACAGTATGCAGAATCTAAGCAAAAGGTAGCAACTTTGAAGAAGCTAACATATAAGTTTTGATTTTGGGTAATAATAAAGATTGGGCCATTTTATACAAAATTACATATAGTAAAAAAATTAAAAGACAATCATGTCATCATTCACTCATTCATCCTCATGTCGTTTCAACCCTGTAGAACTTTTATTTCTTCTGTGAAACATAAAATAGGAGACCTTGATACATTTTTTTTTTGCCCCTGCAATACGTCAATTGGGTTTAATGTTGTTTTTAAAGATATCTTCTATTGTGTTTCATAAAAGAAAGTCATAAAGGTTTAGATCGATGAATGAATTTTGATGAATAATGACGTAATTTTCATTTCGGTATGAACTACCCTACAAGTTGATTGTCAAAGGGTAAAACAACAACAACAAAAAACTTTCTAGAGATATTATACTCTGTGTGTTTGGAGTTTCCAATAATGGAATACGTGTGCAACTTAAAAGAGCAGGGCAGATGTCCTCACAACTGTTTGCGGTTATTTGCTGACCTGGCATGTTTCAACTCTGTCACTCAACACCTCTAAACTACCACAACCCTTTCAAGGACCAGACATGAAAGACCAGATATGAAAGAAAGCCACAGTTTTATATATAAATGTAACACTTTGTTCTGACCATGGGAGAAAAGCTGGGCAGATGCATAGAACAACTTTTGGACAGAATACTTGCCACCATGTAAAAAAAAGAAGTATTTACTCATTTAACATTTCACAACTTAATTTGCAACTTTCCACACATTAAATCTTACATTTAAATCTGCAAAGCCACTCACCAACTTTTCCTTAACAGTTCTCCCACAGCCTGCAAGCTTGAAAACCCTTTAGGAACAGAAATACTTCCTCGACTCAGGCTGAGTTGTTCTTTCACTTTCTAACAGGATGGGAATAATATTATGAATCATAGCAGAGGTCTCTTTTTTGTAGACCCGTTAGGTTTAAATGTATAGCATGTGAACTTCCCCTTTCAGCCCTCTCCACCCTTAACATACTGCTTTACTAATGGTTTCTTGTGTTCGACCAATGGCTGGGCAGGCTCCTCCTCCAAAATAAGGCACAACCGAACAGACTCCTCCTCAGGAATAACACACAGCTGTTGTCAGACTGAGCTCAGGGAAGGGGGAGACGGTTTGGCTGTGAGGAGGGAAAACAGAGGCAATAGTTATACAAGAGTTCAGATTAAGTGTTTGGTGCATTTTCGAGAAGGGTTTGTCTGTATCCCTCAGTACTACAAACCACGCCCTCTCAAGTTACGCCTACTATTATGTCTCCTGTGAAGAAACAAGCATGGATGTCATTGCCTGAAGCAATCTTTTCAAGTACATTTTTTTATGTTTAGTTTAGTACAGTCAATTTAATTAAAATTGACTGTATAGTTTCATAATTAAATTCTTTAAAAATGTAAGGAAAAAAACAAACAGGATGAACAAAAAGTAGGTACTTATTTTTAATAAGTAATTACTTCATGACTGCTAAAAAGTATGTTCTATATAGTATGAGTGTGTGATGTATGAATGTATGGACTACATCCGCCATGCTTTCATTATCATGTGACCTACCAGCGTCAGTTGTGTCGCTTTACTGCCATTCGCAAATCCTCTCCCGTGGCCTCATGGGATAGTATGCACTTCAGAGATTCTCCTGATGTATGAGGTCATCCGGGTACTTCTTGCCTGCTCTTTTATGAGTACTGTGAATTTGAACATACTACTTTTGTCACATTCTTTTTTTTCACCTATGCTATTTCGGATGCAGTCGAAAGGAGGTGTAACTTCAAGTAGGGCGTGGTTTGTAGTTCTACAGACGTTTTTGTTATTTTGTTATTAATATTATTAAGTGGAACTATTAATGAAAAAAATCTAACAATAACAATTATGTCAAATGAAATTAATTAAATGATTCAGCTATATCAATATTTGCTGAGAAAAGCCCATAGATAATTCGATAATAAATTGTATATTATTTTAGTGTCCAATTGTAATGTGTAATAATATCCATAATCATCTTGTAAGTATGCACAAATATATTGTAATGTTCAACACTGCCCTTTCAAAATGTACACCTTTGTACCGCATTTACCCCTAAAGGGTAATTAGTTAATACCTTATTGTACATATTAGTCCCAGAGTGTACTTATTGTCACAGTCTTCGTCTGCACCTGTCTGTCTTAGTCATCTTCACTACACTTCCCAGTATGCTTCTTGTCTCCACACCTGTACTCACTCCCTCATTATCCACCTGTCCCTCGTCATTATCATCTGTGTCACCTGTCTTCACCTCGTTAGTGTTCATTTGGACTTGTATTTAGTTTGCCTGTGTTCAGTCTGTCTTTGTCGGTTCTTGTAAATGTTTAGGTGTTTTTGTGAGTTTTCCTGCCTGTACCTGTTTGTTGTTTTGTTCATAAGTAAACCGTTTGTGAAAGGTGTGTGTATGTTACCTGTGCATCCTTTGCCTGCCTGTATCAGTTTGAGTTTGATTTATTAGTAAAGTATATTGTTTTTGGAAATCCTGATCTCCTCGTGCTTCCTGCCTACACCCAACCGTAACACTTATATGGTACATGCTACCTTTTTAAAGGGTACTGCCCCAGTGACAGTTTTTGTACCCTTTTTCTTAGAATGTAGAGCACCCGTAGTTTTGGCTGTCCAGTTATTTATTGTATCAGCTAAAGAAGACAGGAAAAGCAAAAGCAGTGGATGAAGGACTAGAATAAATTAATGATAACATCCAGTCACACCTGCTCATCTTCACACCAGCCAACTGCTATCTCACACCTAGAAAAATAAGCTACAATTCACCAGACAGTCACTGTAGCACCAGCCATCTGTCACTGGATCTACATGAAGGACTCGCATGTGTTAATTCAGGTGTGTTATCCTGCACAGTCATTTAAAATCTTTGATTATCTCTATAATAATGGTACATGATCATCAACTTTCTCTCTCAACTCAGGTTTTGATCCTGAGGTCATGGAGCATGTGCATATGAAAGTGTGTCATCAGTAGTGAACAGCCAATCACATGCCTTGAAACACAGATAAACTGTAATTCGCTTCTTCCAAGAGAATCAGCGAGATTCTTTTCTCTCTTCTTAAGAGATTTGGAGATTGAAGAATATAAATGCATTTACACACCAAGAATAAATATAGTTGACAATAAGCTACTGATTCCAAATCTTATTTATATTCATTTAAACAAAATGCTTAATAATAATTGTTAAACTAAAATTGCTCATGTGTAATGAATTGGGGTATAATAATTATATGAATAATATAAAATAATTATAATAAGTTAGCATTACTATAGCCAGACAATTTTGTCTTTAAAAATCTGTTACTATTAATCTGTTACTAGTGACCTTTCATTTGGAGCAAGAGAAAATGGGGGAGTGACTTTATTGCATCAGACATGTGTCCCTTTGCTCACTGCTGATTGGTCCAATTTCGGTTTGACATCTCTTACACAGAACATAACCTGGCCCGGAGCAAGTTAGCCGTGGAGCATAATTTATGATGATGAACACAGCTAAAAGCCGAGCCATGCACTTTCATGTGCTTAAAATCCAGGGTCGGTACAAACTAAACTGAAACATATACTGGCTAGGCACCTAAACCGACTTCATGGTATAGGCCCCTGCTCCGGGGCAGGATATGTTCTGGGCACATACATCAAACTCTAACTTCAATGTACTTTGAATGAAGCAATTCATCTTAAATGCGATTATTTCAGCTAGTTAAGCACAGTGTGACTATATAAGGGCTTTAATTATTCATCAAATTTCAACACCTATGACATGCTAAGCAGCAGTATGTTTAATTAAATATTATGAAATTAAGTATACAATATCCTTATAAACTGTGTGATCAGTATAAATATTTGTAAACAAATTAATTGCATTTCTGTTTTCAATTAATTTAACTTCTTGAGTATAGTGCCCAAGAGTCTCAGTGTCATTTCGATTGACTGTGATATTGTGATATGAATTTAACTCAGTTATGTCAGAGGATTTTAATAGCTGTCTTTTTCCCCCCTAAAAAAATGAGGGGTGACTTGTGACTGCTGGATAGCACAAATGCTGTGCAAACTGTTTTTCCATTTCTGCTTTGCATGGACCAGATGCTGTCCCATTCTCTCCCTGAAATCCATCAATGATTTGACATTTCTTCTGCATACAGTGCTTTCTTGAGAAGTGCCATATATGTTTAAAGACTTCTTAATTAACTGTTAATTAGCACAGCAAATCTAACAGAATAAATTAGATTGACTAAGAGAACTGAGACTTCCTGACACAAACTATAAATAGACCCCTTCAAAGATTTATCACCTAAAAAAAAGAAAACGTGTCTTTGGCAACATTTCTGCAAAATGATATTGTGTTGCTTGCACGTTTTGTAAGTGAGTGGCATTAAAAGTGCTTTCAGTGCATGAATCTGCCACCCTAAACATATCAGATAGTGTAAAAAAGCAAATGTGAGGAAAAGCACATTTGCTGAGGCAACAATGCACTTCAGCTTCCTTCTACACGTTTTTGAGCTCTTTGATTTGTTTCACTGGACTCATAGCAGAGCACACTGTATCACAAGTGCAATGCTTTACAAGGTGAGCATAAAAAAAGCCATACAACCTGCTTATGTGATGTAAGCTTGTCATAGTTTACAAATTGTGCACAATGGTAAAACAAATTTGAGGTCATGACAGTGTTGTGCAAGAAAGCATGCAAAAGTAAGTGTTTATTAACTGAAAATATGCCCCTGTAATCATAATTTGTGTGAAAAGGAATAAAAGTTGTGTAAAGGTGTTTTACTGCCCTGAATGTGTGCATGGAGGCTTTTTTTTTTCTTTTTTCAGTGGGCCAAGATTGGACTTAAGAGTAGGCCTAAGTCAGGATGACAGAATTTTCATTTTTGTCTGAAATATTGCTTTAAGCTGTATGACATTTGTATGCGAGCACTGTCTGTTTTCATTTTATAGCAAAAATGTGTTGCAGATTTATTGTGTTGTAATTAATAGATTCAGTAAGTTTGTTGTGCTAATTAGAAGTTAAATCAGCCAACATTAATGATATATGACACCCACAATCAATAAATACTGAAAACTCCCAGCAAGAACAATCGGTTGTTTGGATAACCAATCCAGCCTTCAATTACATGTTCATGTTCTGGTAGCTTTGCGTTTCAAAGAAATGTGTATCGCTTTCAGCGATACAGTCACCACAAAACTCCCCAGAAATCCTCAGGTGTCTCTTAGCTTTTGCGACAGTCATTCTCTTCCATTATGGGTGTTCACAGTAATTACAGAGAACAAGATCTCTCATTCTCTAAGCCAAGAGTGTTTAGACAGACCTCTGATTGGCTGCCAGTGAGAACATTACAGTCTCCTCACACACAGACAGAAATCAATGGTTGGGAAATTGTGCAAAGAAATAATGCTGGCTCTTCTATATGTGCAACAAGGTGTTATTTTAAATGGTATATGTAGTAACATTACTTGTTGGTAATGACCTGAATTGTATATAGGAGTAATGGTCTGATGTCTTCAGCAGAATTTGGATGAGAAAATAATATTACATAAAAATTAATTCGGCTTAATATCTGTTAACTCTTTATTGTGTTGGTCCCCCAACAGACATTCTACTGACTAACTTTGCAAGTACATGTCAACTTATTCTAATTCTAACCAACACATTCTCATCCCAAGGCGTCATCTAACAGACACTTTTGACCATGCGTCAACATGCCGACGCACATGGTACCCTTTAAGCGTCAATATGAGACGCTCATCCTCGGGCGTCATCTAACTGACGCTTTTGACCATGCGTCTAAATCTGACGCACATGGCACCCTTTAGCGTCAGTTAGATGACGCTTCCGTTATGGGTAGGTTTAGGTCTGGGATAGGGTTAGGGTTAGACCACTAGGAGGCGCGTCTCATATTGACGCTTAAGGGGTACCATGTGCGTCGGCATGTTGACGCATGGTCAAAAGCGTCAGTTAGATGACGCCT